ATGTTCTAGTTATTGCACAACAAAACTAGACCAAGTTGATTCTCATAGGACCTGATAACTCCCTGCACGAAAGTTTTTCCCCCCCCTCTCTTCTGCCATCACTTTGGTTTAAATGGTAGTTAATGCCAAGACCACGCTGATAGCTTTTAAGTTTAGAAACATGATTTGAGACTGCATAAAAGAGCTTACAGCTCATAAATATATCCCAGGAGAGCTCTACATCTGAACTGGAGTCAATTAAGGCAGTTTCACCTTCATTAATCAAACAAAGCATATTCTTGAACAGAAAGTGAGGAAATTGCAATAAAGAAAAGAGAAAAATTAAACATGCACTAAATGTATATGTATTCTTCAGGCTAACAGAAAAGGAGCTGAAAACTGAAAATTACACAGGGAATTAAATATACTTTGAACTGAACATATTCTGGGAATTAAAAAAAACAAGAAAGCGGCAAAAGGCAGGTTCTATTTCTCTGTGTGCCAATATGAAGACTTATTTCTGGCTAATAAAATTCAGACTCTTGAGCAAAGGAGTAATCTCTGAAACTTAATTTGATGTCTTACCTCAAACCATTTCAGTTGGTTTGGTCATCTGGGGGCAAAAGGAAATTGCTACTGCCATAGAAATTTCTGTTATAATATTGCCCTCAAGTCTCATGAGATCACTGTGGCTCTTTGTTATGACATAAATGTATTGGTCAGGCAGCTTCAGAGGAGTCTCACATATATGATACTTTCCTGGAGAATGCCATGGCCCTCTCATTTCCAGTTTCCCTGGCCCACTAGTTATCCTGCCCAGAAAACTCATTAGGAAGTACCAAGGTTGCATCTCAAACCCACCATGCAGCAGTGACACACCATGGCTGTATCCTTTGCTGACTGCACGGACATTGGGATGAAATCATTCGGCTGTGTATGATTAGGGACAAAACCATGTGAAATAATTGGACTAATGCTTGCAGCAAAGAGTTTGAAGCAGACAAAACTATATAAAAACAGGGTGCAGATGACCTCACCTCCTTCATCATATCAGTGGCAGGAAGCCTGTTACTACAAAGAGCAGGATATGGACACACAAAATCTAAAGCCTGGGGCTGTTATAAACAGAAGGGCTGATTGCTTGACTCTGCAGTAACTGATTTTCTTCATCACCCAAACTTCTTGTTTCCACAATACTGTAAAAGCAACTTATCTACCCAAGACTAATCCAACTATATGTGGATTGGAGAGCCTAGAGAGATGTTCATTGTTAGGCCTCTGGGTGAAACTCTGACATGAAATGCAGCATTACAGATGTTCTCTTTTTTATATTAAAGAGGAATCTGAGGTTCATCCTTTGCACTATGCTGCACCTTGTGTGATGTATCGTTTGCATTGTTACTCGGCATTGAAAGAAAGAAAGAAAGAAAGAAAGAAAGAAAGAAAGAAAGAAAGAAAGAAGAAAGAAAGAGGAAAGAAAGGAAAGAAGGAAGGAAGGAAAGAAAGAGAGAGAGAGAGAGAGAGAGAGAGAAAGAAAGAAAGAAAGAAAGAAAGAAAGAAAGAAAGAAAGAAAGAAAGAAAAAAGAAAAAGACAAAGACAAAGAGAAAAAGAGAAAGAAAGAAAGAAAAAGAAGATGATTGATAAAATATGCCATGGAACTGAATTTACTTTGGGATGTTCTGGGGTAAAGAAATATAGTGTCTTTCTCATGTCTAGTTTCAATCATTCCAACTGAAGTTGTTGAGAACTGAAGTCCCCATGAGGCTGCCTACTTCTGGACTGACTCATTGGTAATTGCCACTCATCTAGGAAATGGCAAACCAAAGGCTGACAGAGATAAACCCAAGACCGTTGAAATCAATAGCAGGTACCCAGGATTCTTTCTGCATAACTGTATTTATTTACATTATTAGTTTTTAATGGATCCAGCTGTCAGAGTCTCAAGACTGTTTAATATGAAATTTAAAACCAGACTTAACCAAACATTAAATATTAATGCTTTAAGAATGAGCACCATCAACAGATTGTTCAAAAAGATACATTTCAATGGGATTAATATCATCAGTTCAATAGTTTAGCTATAATGAAGGCTTAACTCAATGTCAACGGGATGCGGTGGCTCAGTGGCTAAGACACTGAGCTTGTCAATCAGAAAAGTCGGCAGTTCAGCGATTCGAATCCCTAGTGCCACGTAACGGACTGAGCTCCGGTTACTTGTCCCAGCTTCTGCCAACCTAGCAGTTCAAAAGCATGTTAAAAATGCAAGTAGAAAAATAGGGACCACCTTTAGTGGGAAGGTAACAGCATTCCATGCGCCTTTAGCATTTAGTCATGCCGGCCACATGATCACAGAGACGTCTTCAGACAGCACTGGCTCTTCGGCTTTGAAACGGAGATGAACACTTCCCCCTAGAGTCAGGAATGACTAGCACATATGTGCGAGGGGAACCTTTAACTCAATGTCATTACTAACTGAGCTGATGACATCAGTAGGGATTCTCCCAAGATAAATGCAGCGAGAACTAAGAGGCAAGCAAGGAACTAATATAAGCTGTTGTCTCAAGTAAGCCAGACCTGTGCTGTGTGACCCCCAATTCATATTTAGAAAAGTTAAAAGTGTAATCTTTTAGCAGAGGTATAAATTGTGTGATCTTTTTGAATCTTTTCAAAGACTTGCATTTGGTATAACTGAATTTTTTTACTGGATACAAAACTGCCTTTACAAATTGCACCTGTCAAAGCTGGAAGTTAACATATGCAGCTCAGGGTTATGAAATGTCTACTAGAGTGTTACCTCAGCGTGATAGATGAAAGAGAAATCTGGAACCGGAATTACTCCCAATTCCAACCATCCTTGTTCTTTTATGGGAATATAATTTCATCCCAATTCAGATTTGTTTGTTTGTTTGTTTTTCACATTTTTGGACACCTGAAATTTAAAAGGAGACAAGGATGATTAAACCCTGTTAAAATTAGTTAAAAAGCTGAATGGAGGGCTCTCAGAGTGCCAAGCAGCCACACATATACATGCTCCTCTGAGTTCCGCATATGAGGCCACAGGGCCTCGTTTTAAAGAATTATCTTCCTGAAGTTATAAACTCATGTAATGAGCCTCTGTAGATTTTGATTCAGTTTATCATTTCTCATCTTGGAGTATGTTGTTGTTTTCAACACAATGATTATGCACTCAACTTCATCTAAAAGTACACATCCACCCACCTGAATATAAGAGAAACCTAACAAAAAGTATAATCTGGCTTCCCAGTCAAAGGCCTTTTGGAATTCATCAAAAGTCACTATTACCATTTAGAATGACTTTAGCTCATAAATCTATGAAATACAAAACATGGTGTGCAAATCCAAGGACCCAGTAGAAAAGGATGCTAAGACAGGACTCATATACAAAACAAAAGGCAAAGTCGACAATGGACAAACGGATGGAATACTAACAATTGGTATCTATGAAAACCAATTTGCAGTCACGATACATTAATTTCCTTCTACAAAGGACATAATTTCAACTGACTGACAATGGATATTTTGGAAAAAGCCAAAAATACAATAGAGTTCTTAGTACAAGGGCATTTTGATCAAGCCATGATCAGCAGACAAATGGATATAAACCAACTTGCCTCCAGAAGTTGTGAATTCTCCAACACTAGGAGTTTTTAAGAAGAGATTGAACAATCATTTGTCTGAAATGGTATAGGGTTTCTTGCCTAAGCAGGTGGTTGGACTAGAAGACCTCCAAGGTTCCTTCCAACTCTGTCATTCTATTCTATTCTATTCTATTCTATTCTATTCTATTCTATTCTATTCTATTCTATTCTATTCTATTCTATTCTATTCTATTCTATTCTATTCTATTCTTATTTGTGAGGACTTATGACCAAATAGTCCATTCCTATGCAGATTAATTGCCACCTAGGCAATTCACCAAAGCAAGTGCATAACAGACATTATAGAAACCTTTATAACACTTGTCACCAAAGAAACCTAACTTTTCCATACCTCCTGCACTGATGGCGTTATCTAGTATAATAATGAAATGTTTGCACCTCAAAATCTAGTTCAGGGAATTTTATCAATTCTAACAATACAGTGGCGCTATGGCTATATCTTCAGTAAACTGTGTGACCACCAAAAGCAGAACTGCATCTGGATTTACTGCTTTCAATGAAAACCTATTTTGTATGGCATATGAAACTTCATTCAAGTTGATTTTCAGATTATTTTCTAGAGAGATTTGTCAAATGTATTGATGCAGTTTAGCTTCTTGTATAAGCTTGAAAATACAATAATAAGGGAGGAACATCAGAGTTTCACGGGCTATCTGATCCTTTTCCAAATTGATGGGATCCTAATAGGTTAATTAATTCCTAGAATTTCTAAAAAATGTAGCTGACAATCAGATAACCCTTTCAATTCCATGAGCCATGAACTTGCTTTTCAGAGAGCTTTCAGACTAAATGTATTTGAAGGGACTGTGCTACATATTTCTGTCTTACAATAGGTCTTCCATTTGAAACTATAGTCTTCACCCAATGAATGTGTATCTGTAACACAATGCTTTATTATTATTATTATTATTATTATTATTATTATTATTATTATTATTATTATTGCAATATTCCTAAAGTATTTTTCCTACCAGGTATGATAGAAGAATCTCATAAATAATGCTAATAGAATTACTATTGTGACTGCTGATGCACTGTAACATGATCCATTTCACATCAAGTTGGGTTCATTTGCATCATTTTTTATCAACTTCTCTGGACAGCCAGAGAAAAATATTTGGTTAGTAATTCTGAAGTCTTGATTCTGCCCATCACATTTAAGCCATTTAGTACAATGTTTTCCAAATAACAAAAATGAAATGCATCAGTAGAAAACAGTAATTGTGAGTAAATCAAAATTAGATCTGTTTGACTAAGCTTTCAATTAAATGGAACATAGCACTGATCAATGACTGTCAGATTAAGGGACACCAGTTTATAAACAGCTACATAATTCTGGATTTGTTTTGTACAGTGGATTTTTATTGGAACAGACTTGTTAGTCACTTATTTTGATTAATTGGTACAGACAGCAAGAATCAATGAACTTTGGCTAAACAAAGACAAAACAAAAATTCAAAAGTAGAAGAAACAGCTGTTTATCATTACTCTGGTAGAAACACATTCTCATCTTCTGTTTCCATTAAAAATCTTATTAATGTTTATGTCCTGCATGACCTTGATTGTGATGATGCTCTTCCAGTTAGGAAAGATCTGTGAGCAAAGAGAAAGGGAAGGGAAGGGAAGGGAAGGGAAGGAAAGGAACATGCAATCTTATTATTACATGGGAGACAAATAGGAGTTACATTTGATAACTTTAGAACTTCCTTATGAATTATCTAAGTCTTCACAGGGTGTCAGAAAGTCAAATGATAGCCTTAGATTAATAATCTAAGGATCATGCAGCAAACATAATTCAACTCCTTTTAGTTTTGTACATTCAACAGTAGCCCTCTGTTGCTTAGAAAGACAAACTTGAGGGTTTAGTGAATACATGAAAGCTTTATCTTTCTTTTGTCCCCTATTCCACATCTTCTGAATCTGTTGTTTTGAACTTGGTATCTTTCAGGTGGATTAGACAACAACTCAAATAGTTCTCATTATAGTAAGAATGAGGGAAATTTAATCTCACCAAATTAGATGTCATTATGTTAGAAAAAGTATAAGGTGTATATCAGGGCTGCCAACTCCCGGCCCGTGGGCTGGATGCATCACATGCTGGCCAGGCCCACACCCAGGTTAGCCATTACATCATGTGACACCGCCATGATGACATGAGTTTGACACCCCTGGTGTATATCATTATAAATTGTTCATTGGCTGGGACCTCTGAAGAAAGCCCAGCCCCACATTGTGTGAATTTGTATAGCATGGAAAAGAGGGCTTCCCTCTACAATTCTATTCCTCTTACAATAGACATCTTGGATTGTCTAAATAATGCTAGATGAATCGCATCTATACTGTAGGGCAGTGCTTTTCTAGCATAACAACTTTTAAGATGCTTGGACCTCAATTTCCAGAATTCTCCAACCAATTACACTGGCTGGGGAATTCTGGGAATTGAAATCCACACATCTTAATGTTGCCATGATTGGGAAACCTTGGTTTAGGGTTTAAAACGAAACAGAGAACTGTGGGCAGTTGTGAAATACAGAGTTCCAAAAAGTTTACATCAGCCTGAGGACCTCTTGTAGTCAGACATGTCTTGCTGTAAATAACAGGTCAGGATTTTATTTTATTTTTTAATGAAAGGAAAAAGATTTATGCTACAAATCCTTGCATGGCATGTTGTCCTTCATCTTGTTATGAACATAAAGCAGGGAGTCCTATAGTTCTTACATGTTGTTTTAGAAATACAGTGAGAGATGGGGTCTCAGAATAGTTAGTGGAAGTAAACTGAAACATACCATAGCAGGAGATTAATACTGTGATGGATTCAAAGGAAATGTCAAAATGACTGTCAGAATGACTTCATCAAAGCAATTCCATGGAGAAGAAAAACAATCTCCTTCAGTTCAGCAGTAGGTATTTTCTCCTCAAAATGTAAACATTTTTTTAACTTGCCATTATTTAGATTTTCTGTGTCTCTCTGATACATCTTCTGAGCTTTCTCACCAGAAACACACCAAAGGAGTTAATTAGGTATTTCTTTCAAAACATCTTCTGAAATCTGTGATTTAGCTTTCTTGGAATCACTGCAAAATATAAGTACATATAACTTATTATTACAGTTCCAAGCCTGTACTTAGAATTCTAGCCAATGCACACTGTACTCTGTGAAAAAGTAATGTCCTTGAATATATTTAGATATTCTTCCAAATTATGGAATTACACTCCAGGAAACTGATGACAAATAAATTCTCCAGGATAGGAGAGTTGTGGCTTTTTCTGGAACATTGACATAAATGATAAGATGGCCTCTTGGCCAGGACCTTTAGAAGTGTGGGAATCTGACCTTTAGAAAGGTGGAAGACTATTAATTTCAAAGCCCATTGGTTTTCCTCTTCTGTGACAGTAGTGGAAGATCAGAACCATATCCTTGCATCATTAAGGGAGCATTCATAGACACATTTTGCTTCTGTTTTGCATGATTTGAGAACAGGGATGAATGACTTCATCCTGAACCTGCCCCAGCTATTGCAAAGATGACCACCTTTCAGGGGTGAAATCCAGCAGGTTCCAACAGGTTCTGGAGAACCGGTAATGGAAGTTTTGAGCGGTTCGGAGAACCGGTAGCGGAAATTTTGAGTAGTTCGGAGAACTGGCAAATACCACCTCTGGCTGGCCCAGAGTGGGGTGGGAATGGAGATTTTGCAATATCCTTTCTCCAGGAGTTGGGAGGTAATAGAGATTTTGCAGTATCCTTCCCCTGGAGTGGAGTGGGAATGGAGATGTTCAGTATCCTTCCCCTGCCATGCCCACCAAGCCACACCATGCCCACCAAGCCACGCCCACAGAACCGGTAGTAAAAAAAATTGGATTTCACCACTGCCACCTTTGCCTCAAAAGTATTGTTTTTCTCACTTCCTTTGGTTGAAGCCATGCCAGGAAGTCTGCTATGTTTCATTTTGTTGTAGGCAGTGCTTTCACTCTGATTGGGTAGAGTGAGAATGCCCTTGCCCTGTGGCCATTGGTGCTGCTAGGCAATTTTAAGTTGTTTGTATCTTCAATGGTAATCTCCCAATGGTATAGCTCCTTTTTCCCACCTACTAACAAAAACCTAGGCCTTTTTTTTTTTTTAATCCAGAGCCCTGGTATACAATTTGCATACCCCAAGAATATGCCAGTTGCAATAGTTATACACTGAGATATGTGGAAGCTGGGGAGAAAATAACAGTTTCTTAGTTTCCTTTTTCAACTCAAGTGGATGAAAGAATGGTGGAATGGGGTCCCTCCCAACTGATCCAACAGTGCATCTCTGGAAAATTCATTACAGACAAGCAACTCCTTGATTACGTCTAAGGTTCCTTCCAACCCTGATTCTATGAAGTTGGCTGTTGTTTGATTACACAAATGGAAACCATATGTCCTCAAAGAAGAGGAAAGAAATTGACATGGATTGAGGTGCATAAAAACAAAAGTACTGACTAGTGTGGGAACTAGGTAACCGCCATCTGGACAGGACACCTGGCCAAGAATATTTTCTTAATTCAGCTTCATTTCCATCCAAGAGCAGCACACCAGACAAGCAGCTGTACAGAATTGTTGAAATCTAATCCCATTATAAACTTATAGCATTTAAAATAAAGATTGAATAAATCATATCAATGAAGAAATGCTACTGGTATGCCAAAACAAAAGGCAGCATGTATGGTGGGAGGCATGTGATTGTTCTTATGGTTGTTCAGTCACTTCTGATTCTTAATGAGGTGGTGGACATAAGTTCACCAGGACTGTCTGTCAGTAAATGCTTCCCTTTCTTGTAAGTTCCTGCTTGTGTCATCAGCGACAGAGTCTGGTGACCTTGTCTTGTTTGTTTGTTTGTTTGTTTGTTTGTTTGTTTGTTTGTTTGTTTTATTAGATTTATATACCACCCTACTTCTGAAGGACTCAGGGCGGTGAACAGGCACAAAATAAAATACATAGATACAAAAGTTAAAAGACATAATTAAAACCAGATTAAATAATTTAGCCTGAGACAATTAAAAATCCCAATAATTTAAAACAGATTAAAATTTCGATTTAAAAGAATTTTAAAACAGGGGAGAAAATTAGGCCAGGCCGGCTTGCTGGAATAGGAGAGTCTTAAGAGCATGGCGGAAAGTGCACAGATCCGGGATCCTCCATATCTCTGGGGGGAGCTTGTTCCAGATAGTGGGTGCCCCCACAGAGAAGGCCCTCCCCCTGGGGGCCACCAGTCGACATTGTTTAGCTGACGGCACCCGGAGGAGCCCCTCTCTATGAGAGTGTACCGGCTGGTGGGAGGCTGCTTGTGGTAGTAGGCAGTCCTGTAAATAACCAGGTCCTAAGCCAGGGAGCGCTCTAAAGGTGGTGACCAAAACCTTGAAGCGTACCCAGAAGACTAGCTGATTGTCTTCTGTCAGCTTCTTTTTCAGGGTCTTCTCCAAAGATGCTATCCACATTGTATCCCAAATATTTAAGCCTTAGCTTAATTATTAGTGCTTCTAATAAATAATTTGAGAGGCCCTACCTATATAATCTTTTTTTTAAAAAAAATTTTTTAATTTCTTGCAGATTTGGCTTGAAATAGATCTTGTGAACAGCATTTTAATATTTGTCTTGTGTTATTTGATTACATAGTTCAGATATGTTCAAGAGGTCAAACCTGGCTTATTGAGCTGAACGTTGCCTCCCTGAAATATCTTGTAGAAATTTGAATACCTTGATTTCTGCAGTCTCGGGATTGTACAAAGAGAAGGAGAGAGGGTGGAAACAGTGTAAGAGAAGATTGTATGAATATGTAATACAGATTCCAATCCCAAACTAGTCATAGAGGTCATTGGATGATGATTATTATTTTTTTTACAATCTTTGTTTGCTAGCTCACAATGAGTGTTTTGAATCCAGCAAAGATGATGGCCTTTTTTTTTTTTTTGTTTATATGAGAGAGAGAAAGAGAGAAAGACAGACAGAGAGAGAGAGACAGAGACAGAGAGAGGGAGGGAGGGAGGGAGGGGAGGAGAGGAGAGGAGAGAGAGAGAGAGAGAGAGATCTTCTTTGGAAAAAAAAGTAGGAAGTAGAATCCCTTGTTTTAGCTCAGAGATCAAAAGCTTTTTTTCCCATTACCAGAAGGCAAACTTAGATAGCTTCAGAAGGGTACCTTTCACCTGACCTTTTTATTCTTTGTTGCCAATTCCATGTTTGGTGAATTTATTTGATAATCATATGATTATGCATCTCTCTAATGGAACACATTCTTCCCAGGTTATTAAAATCAGAGCTTCAAAAATTTGCTGACATCTTTCTCTTAATAGCCCATCTTTTTTTTTTAAAAAAAAATGACAATAATTTGCATTCATAGTCTGTTATGTGAGCAAAACTCATATCTAATATTTTAGCTATTCCTCTTGAACATACAGTAAAGCTTCTAAATAGTTGCAAATTAATATATTGAAGGATTTAAATAAGCTTCTCAATAGCAGTTTGATCCCAGATGGGGGAAAAAGAAAAATAACATAAAAGATGCAACAAAATGTATCTAATATTCTAGGCCATATAGCAGCAATTAAGATGATACCCCCAAAATTAGTATACCTATATCAAATTCTTGTGAAAGATATTCTAGATGAAATTGTCCTCACTTGGAGAAAAGTTGGGTTTTATATCCTTTTCTAATTTTGTTACAAGAAAAGAATGAATCATGTCGGAAGCCGACATCAGACAAAGCACAATCTCTTTTATTTCAAAGAATATCTCAAGGGCATTCAATGCCTGCACTTGCATTCCTAGAAATATAGATGTGGGTGCCTATAGCTTAGTTCTTCACTTGAAACAGGAAGGAAGGAAGGAAGGAAGGAAGGAAGGAAGGAAGGAAGGAAGGAAGGAAGGAAGGAAGGTAGTTTGAGATCCAGTTTGGCATAAGGTTTATCTAAACTATGGAACCACTTCTTTATTAATATTAGTCTAAACTTACCTCACCTTTGTTAATTGAAACTTTTTTCTTTTTCCATATCTTGCTCTCTACATCTTTGTTGGCCCATCTTGGAACCATAATCTGTGAATGATGGCAGATGAGTAAGTGGATTACAGTTAACAAAGGCTCTAGAATTAAGAAGATACTGGTACAAAGCCCTGATGAGCTATGACATTATCAGGGTACACCTGATATATTCGCTATAGTTACTATATGGGTAATATTAGAAGTTAGGATTGAATGCAATAAATGAGACAACAATACAACCAATAGGAATAGTTTTGTTCTGTTTTTTCCAGATGGGGACAAAAATCTAGCACAATAGGGTTTGCATTACTTGGCCTGGTTAATGCATATTAAATAACAGTACTGCCATTCAAAAGAGTTCAAAACTCATTAAAACTATTTCTGTCTCTCTTGTGCATAGCCTCTCAGCCACAAAATGACTTAAAGATATTTCTGGTACCTCCAGAAGCAAATCCAGTTAAAGTTCTATAATCAGTTTTCCCATGGGTTTTCTCATCCCACTCATCAGAAAATGTTGGCTGCTTTCAACATCTTAATTTTTCATTTTAAAGCTGTTGCTTGTAAAGTGGGAGTAGAATGAAACCTCCAATCTTAGATCCTCAACAAATTGCTGCCCCTTCCTGAGGTCCTCTAAGTGGCTTCTGGCAAAAAAATAAGTCCTGCATTCTTCTGAGATATTTAACAGATTGTTCTGTAGTAAAGTGTTATTGCTTCTAATATAACACTTCAAAAGTTTTCTGTGTACACCAGGTGTTATACAAAACTTGTGGAATTATATTAACAGGAAGGCAGACTGCAGGTAAATGTTAGGGGGGGAAATTCTATTGAGAAGAGCAATAAAGATGATTAGATGACTGGAGGCTAAAACATGCAAAGAATGGTTGCAGGAATTGGGTGTGTCTAGTTTAATGAAAAGAAGGACTAGGGGTGACATGATAGCAGTGTTCCAAATTCTAAGAGGCTGCCACGAAGAAGAGAGGGTCAACCTATTCTCCAAAGCACCTGAAGGCAGGACAAGAAGCAAGGGTGGAAACTAATCAAGAACAAAACAAACCTAGAACTAAGAAGAAATTTCCTGACAGAACAATTAATCAGGGAATGAGTTGTCTCCAAAAGTTGTGAGTGTCCCAAAACTAAAGGTTTATAAGAAGAGATTGGACAACCATTTGACTGAAATAGTATAGGGTTTCCTGCTTGAGCAAGGGGTTGGACTGGAAGACTCCAATGATGCTTCCAAGTCTGTTGTTCTGATATTCTAATAGTAAGAAAGGTTAAAACAATGGGTCCATTAACACCAAGAACTGGTGGGGTCTCCTTCTTAGATATTTTTAAGTGAACATTGGAAAGCTTTAATCTGGATTTCATCAGGGGACTTGGATTCGTTGGCCTCAAAAGCCTCTTCTAGCTTTATGATTTAGAAATGCTGAATTGATCATGAAAGAAACTTCCAGTAATTAGTTACTACTACCAGCTTATTTTATTAGAATATATATATATAACTAATTAGCTAACATAGAAGCCTCTCTTTGTAAATTTATGTAAATGAAAAAATAAATATATTCTTTCTTACTTTCTCTCATTATATTACAGTAGCCCTTTGTTTAAAATGTTAAGGGAGTTATACAAGGAGTCATGCTGTAATTTATTTTCAAGTACCAACTCTATGAAGTTGGCTGGGCTGAAAGAGAATGAGTGGACCAAGTTCATTGAATAACCTTCATGGTCAAAAGGGGAATGAACCAAAAGCTCTCTGATCTACTGTGTTTACCCGAAAATAAGACCCTGTCTTATATTTTTTTGAACCCCAAAATAAGCGCTTGGCCTTATTTTTGGGGAGGTCTTATTATTTTGGGATGTGTGGAGCAAGATGGGGCTCCTCTTACCGTCTTACCTGATTTCCAGCTCTGCGTTTAAACATTTTCGGAGAGGGCTTATTTTCAGGGGATGCTTATTTTAGAGATTGGGCTTATTATCAGGGGATGTCTTATTTTCGGGGAAACAGGGTAATATATTAACCACTATACCATACAGACTCTACCATGGTTTATTATTAGTTGTGTCTGAAAATGGTGTCTTACTTATATGGTGAATTCAGGCTTCTAATACCATCTTTTCACATACCTATTATAAGTGCTTCTTCTCCTTCTTGGTTTTTAGAAAATGTAAAATTTCATTTTAAATAAATATCAGAAAAGCATACAAATAGACACTGCCCCTTGCTATCAATTGGATGATTACTCTATTAAACATTATCATTTTAACTCCCTGGAGAAAATGTACAACAGTTTGCAGTTCTAGCTACTGAAGCATTTGTTCAACAGATAATAAATAAAGGCAGGTTCAGGCTAGATTAGCTGAATATAACATCTGCATCTGAAATTCTACCTGGCAATTTATTGCTACATCTGTTCTGAGTTCGGTTTAATTAATTCCATTTATCTGTAGATAAGCCAACAGATTCTAAGATAGGAAATAAGACATTTCATTTAGTGTCAAATGAGATCTATTGGTTTTTAAAATATTGCTTTTCAATGTCTACAATTCTACAATTGTTTCCAGATTAGGATCCTAAAATTAGAGAACAAGATTTTCTTGATCTTGGCTAGGGATACCTTTTGGGCTTCAAATGTTATATGAATTAATTCACTTTATACATGATTCAACCTTGGGCAAATCAGAACAAAATCCAAGTTTTTCAGAAGTTTCGTGTGATTCAAATTATGCAAACAGATTCTAGTAGGAAAAAGACATAAATATTGGATGCATCAGGAAAAAAAAACACAGATAAGAAATATTATATTAGTTCATTTGTAATTGAAACTAAACTATTCATGAGCCATTGGGAGCTTTACTTATTTCCTTATTTAAACAGAGAAATAGAATTAGTAAAGGTAAAGGTTCTAACCCTAACCCTAACCCTCACACATATGTCATTAGTCGTTCTTGACTCCAGGGGAAGGTGCTCATGTCTGTTTCAAAGCCGAAGAGCCAGCACTGTCCGAAGACATCTCCATGGTCATGTGGCCGGCATGACTAAATGCCAAAGGTGCATGGAACACTGTTACCTTCCCACCAAAGATGGTCCCTATTTTTCTACTTGCATTTTTTACATGCTTTTGAATTGCTAGGTTGGCAGAAGCTGGAACAAGTAACAGGAGCTCACCCTGTTATGCAGCACTAGGGATTCGAACCGCTGAACTGCCGACCTTTCGATCGACAAGCTCAGCTTCCCTGTTGAATTTCCTTGTGGGAAGCTAATAGTCATCAAAAATTTCCTTCCTTCCTTCCTTCCTTCCTTCCTTCCTTCCTTCCTTCCTTCCTTCCTTCCTTCCTTCCCCTCCCCCCCTCCTTCCCTGTTCTTTCTTTTCTTCCCTCCTTCCTTATATTTAGATAGATTCGCCCATCCTAACAGTCAGCTATCTCCAGAAAGATGTTTATTGTGCTTTACTGTGCTTCCTATTAGAACATTCTAAACTCTGAAGCACTTGCTTAGCCTGTACAACTCATTGAGCAGAAGATACCAAATGCTCCTGTTCCTGCCTGTCTAGCTTCCTGTCTACCCTATGCAATTGCCAGTCTGTCTAACTGAGCTCTGAACAACTCAATGAAAACATTCAATCAAACAGTCCCTTATCACTGATCTTTTTATTGAGAAACTCCTGAGAAGTTTCTTAAAAAAAAAAACAACCTAAGTTAGTACAGCTACTGCAGCAAGTGCAAAGAGGGCACAAACTCAAGCCTTAAAAAGTGAATTAATCTAGCATTTGGCCATCAATCTGTAGATGCCTTAATCCATGTCAACACTGCTGGCAGGGAGTTGATAGCTATTTGAGACTTGCATTGGCTATCTTGCATTGCAGCTTTGGATTTCTTGTTCTATGGAGTGAAATGAAACAAATCAATTGGCACTTCATGCATTTTAGACTCAATAGCTTAATATTAAGTAATTCATTCCAAACATGTCACAGTCCAGGGCAAAGCAAACAACTTTCCAACTTTTTGATGGCATTCAGATGCTCTTTCTTTCTGCCAAACCAATTGCCAGAAATAGTGGAAATCCTGGTATTGTTTCAGACCTGCATAATCTGGCAGAATTTTTCAATATAGTTGAGATCCATATAGGTATGTATTAACATTATCTATGGGCGTATACATTGTTTGTGTGGTGGAATCTGTTTCTGAGTTGCAGGAGGAATAAGTGAAAAGGCATATCAGCATTTAATTCTTGGTATGTAGAAAGATACCGAGAAGGGATCCTCCCTAAATATTTACAGTGTTTTTCTGATAGTTGCACAGAATGTACTTTAGTCTGGCAAGATTCCCGTCGATAGGTGAACAGTAATAAAGACACTCATCTGAGCAATCCATCTTGTTGTTCTTCGTTTCCTGAATTTGATAGTTTTCCTAATGTTTGCCTGGATTAGGACAGGCAAACATTTTAGTTATCCAATTTGTGAGCCAGAATCTGCCTCCATCTTTAGGGAAAACGGCCATAAGTTTACAATGTAGCTCCTCTGCTACATGAAGTTTTGTATTGCAGTGGTTCTCAACCTCATCACAGACCCCCTCTAAACACCTTTTGTGACCATGGACCCCCAAGACTTAACTCAAGATTTAAATCATAACATTTCTTCAAGCCTTTGTGGACCCCTTATGAAGACTTGGTGGCTCCTCAGGGTTCCGTGGACCTCAGATTGAGAATCTCTGTTGAATTGTGTATGGATAGCTGAAGAAGAATCACAGCATCATTGTTAGAACAATCCAAATTGTCTGCTCACTTTGGCTGCTTACTTTATAGTATGTTCTCAGAACAGTTTTCCAGTTTCCTTGTTGGATTAAGGATAGATTGATATCTGCAAGAACTGAGCTACTAAACCATGTATAAATCAATATGATGCTTCATAGATCTAGGAACATAGAGTAAGGATCTATTGATTCTGCCTGTAACTTTTTTCCCCTCCTGCCTTGATTTTTGCATTTTTTATTTATGTTTTTTGGCTTTAAAGAACTTGGGATGATTATTGATGCTCCCTTCATCTACAATAGCATTCTCCCTGAGATCCAAATGGCTCCACCCTACTGGGCTTTTAGGAAAGCTGTCAAAAACTGATTGTTCCAATTGGCCTTGGGGTGGAGAGTTAGCTATATTTTATTCCAATATATATATATATAAAATGTATGGAAATCTTCCCTAGTGTTAACAATAAGAATGAACACATGAATGATGGAAGAGGATCAGTGCATCTACTGGCTTCGCTAAGAAGTACTAAATCAACTGTAATAATCCTTTCCCAAAGGACTGAGAAAACAGCATGCTGTGCTGAAAAGGCACAGTTGGTATTCAATGTACACAGTCCTGAGTAAGTGAATTCATTCTATTGTCTTGTGCTGCAAATGAACATAAATGGAACAGATATTCACAGGGAGCAAAATCATAGATGATACATGAGAGTAGAATGGCTCCCTAAACCACAGTATCTTTCCTTTTATTTTCTCTGTGTTGTTCAATATAAACTCCCTCCCTTCCTGCCCATGTCGGGGGGTGGGTGGATGAAGAACATTTATATACTCTCCCTGAATGGAACACCAGCTCCTTAATGAAGAGACAAGAAGATGGGACTATATACTAAACAAGGTTAAACTATTTCCAGTTTGCACAGTATTTTTTTGCAACAAACTGTAGTTGAAAAATCTCTCCATTATAGCACAAGAATCAAGCTCAAATAGCAAAGTTTAAAATTATGATTAGAACGGATGTCTCTATTGTAGTAGAACTGCATTCACGATTTAGGACTGGATGTTTCAGTTTTTCCCCTCATTCATCATTCCAAATTTGCTGACCTGAGTCAAGGCATCAGAGACCTTCCACTATCTCATCTTTGCATGCTTCTTTCAGTTAATTCCATTTGTATCATTCATCTATTTCCATCCTGCTCCTCAATGTTATTGTTTGTTGTTATTTTTTGGTACTAAAGCAAATATGACTCCTGGTGACTACCTGGGCAAGTTTCTGTAGTTTTCTTGAAAAAAATTTAGAATTGGGTTGTCATTATCTATTTTATAGGGCGTAAAGACTATGACTGGTTCAAAGTCATAGGTCAGGCTTTGTGTCTAAGGTGAGATGAGAATACATGTTCTCCTGGTTTCTAGCTTGCTGTCATACCCACTATACCAAACTGGGTCTTTCCATTGCCTGCTTTCTAGGGTCAAGAGGGAGTGATTGGTCCAAGGTCACTGCTCTTGCTTTGTACCTCAGCTGGAATGAGAACTCATGGTCTCCTAGTTTCTAGCCTAATACCTTAACCACTACATCAAACCAGCTTTCTTCCCTAATTTTAAACCCTGTTTAAATAGGATACATGCCACAGATACATTATACATTATTTTTCATTCTCTTCATGTAAACTTCTTACAAACAAGAACATCTGAAGAAATCTTCAGTTTACATCTGTTGAGTTGAAGTGATTTTCAGTAATTATTTATTTATTTATTTATTTATTTATTTATTTATTTATTTATTTATTTATTTATTTATTATTATATTTCTATACCGCCTTTCTCCCGTAGGACTCAAGGCAGTGTACCAGTCAAGAAAAATATAGACACACAAACATCATAAAATTGCTAATTAAAATTATTACTTAGTTTGGTCAATTAAATAAAACCCAGAATTAGATCACATTTAAAAAATCATTCACATGTTCATATGTTTAGCCCCGCCTGTTGGAACATCAGGGTCTTGAGGGCACGGCGGAAAGCACGGAGATCAGGGATATTCTGTATCTCCGGGGGCAGTTCATTCCAAAGGGTTGGAGCCCTCGCAGAGAAGGCCCTCCCCCTGGGAGTCGCCAGTCGACATAATTTGACTGACGGTACCCTGAGTAGTCCCTCCCTGTGAGAACGAACTGGTCGGTGGGAGGCTATTGGTGGCAAAAGACGGTCTCGTTGGTACCCAGCTCCTAAGCCATGGAGCGCTTTAAAGGTGATAAATAACACCTTGAATCGCACCCAGAAGACCACCGGGAGCCAGTGCAGCTCGCGTAGGAGAGGTGTTACATGGGCGTAACGAGCTGCGGCCATAATCACCTGTGCGGCTACGTTCTGGACCAGTTGGAGCCTCTGGGTGCTTTTCAAGGGGAGCCCCATGTAGAGAGCATTACAGTAGTCCATACGGGAGGTAACTAGGGCATGAGTGACCGTGCGCAAGGCGTCCCGATCCAGAAAGGGACGCAACTGGCAGATCAGGCGAACCTGATAAAAGGCACCCCTGGCCACAGCCGTCAAATGATCTTCTAAAGATAGCCGTGAATCCAGGAGGACACCCAAGTTGTGGGCCCTCTCTGTGGGGAGCAAGATCTCATCCCCTATTGTCAGTGATGGTACCAGCTGACTATACCGGGATGCCGGAAGCCACAGCCACTCGATCTTGGAGGGGTTGAGTCTGAGCTTGTTTCTCCCCATCCAGATCCACACGACCTCCAGGCAACGGGACATCACAGCAAGGGCATCATTGGGGTGGTCTGGGGTGGAGATGTATAGCTGTGTGTCATCAGCATACTGATGAACACTCACCCCGAAACCACGGATGATCTTGCCTAGCGGTTCCACATAAATGTTGAACAGAAGGGGTGAGAGGACTGACCCTTGTGGCACTCCACAAATAAGGTGCCTCGAGGTCGACCTCTGACCCCCTGCCAACACAAACTGCGAACGGTCAGAGAGGAAGGAGGAGAACCACAGAAGCACGGTGCCCCCTATTCCTAACCCCTCCAGCCGGTGCAGTAAGATACCATGGTCGATGGTATCAAAAGCCGCTGAGAGATCTAATAGGACCAGGATAGAGGAGCAACCTCTGTCCCGAGCCCTCCAGAGATCATCTACCAACGCGACCAATGCCGTTTCCGTGCTGTATCGTGACCTGAAGCCCGACTGGAACGGATCCAGATAGACAACTTCATCCAGGTATCGGGGTAGTTGTCGCGCCACCATACTCTCAACAACCTTTGCAACAAAGCGAAGATTGGAGACTGGACAATAATTTGATAATATAGCTGGGTCCAGGGAAGGCTTCTTGAGGAGGGGCTTCACAACCGCCTCTTTCAAGGCAGCGGGAAAGATACCCTCACTCAGAGAAGCATTTATAATCCCCTGGAGCCAGCCTCGTGTAACCTCCTGGGAGGCCAGTACCAACCAGGAGGGACACGGGTCCAATAAACATGTGGCAGCATTAAGCTTGCCCAGAATCCTGTCCACGTCCTCAGGAGTCACAGAGTCAAACTCTTCCCAGATAACGCTCTCAAGACCTGCCCCTGTCTCCTCCCCTGGATCTACCCAATTGGAGTCTAGGCCTTCCCAAATCTGAGCGACTTTATCATGCAGGAATTGTACAAAATCCTCAGCTCGACCCTTTAAGGGATCTTCCCGTACCCCCACCTGAAGTAGGGAACGGGTCACCCTAAACAGCATGGCTGGGCGGTTCTCTGCAGATGCAATAAGAGCGGAGAAGTAGCTAGACTTCGCCGCTCTTATCGCCACTAGGTAGGTCTTAGTATAAGATCTCACCTGTGTTCAGTCAGATTCAGATCAGCTTGTCCTCCAATCGCTCTCCAGGTATCTTTTCCGACGCTTCATCTCTCTCAGCTCCTCAGAAAACCAAGGAGCTAGACGAGATCGGCATCGGGTCAGAGGCCGCAAAGGCACGACGTGATCCAAGGCCGCAGTAGCCACCCTGTCCCAGGCGACCACCAGGTCCTCGACCACCAGTCGAGTCGTGAGCCAGAGTCTCCGGAAATCGCCCAAGCTCCATCAGGAACCTTTCGGGGTCCATCAGGTGCCTGGGACGGAACCATTTGGTTGGTTCCGTCTCCCTGTGGTGGGTGGAAGTGACTTGAAAGTCCATGTGAAGGAGAGAATGATCAGACCATGACAAGGGCTTGATGTCTATATCCCCTATTCTTAGATCATTCAGCCACTGATCAGAGACAAAAATCAAGTCCAGAGTGTGATTCCCCAAGTGGGTGGGGCCTTGAACTACCTGGGTCAGGTCCATGGCCGTCATGGAAGCCATGAATTCCCGGGCCGTCTCCGACATCTCACCAGCGGATGGCAGGTTAAAATCCCCCATAACAATAAGTCTGGGGGTTTCCACCGCCACCCCGGCTATAATGTTGAGCAGCTCAGGCAGGACCACTGTTACGTGGCAGGGAGCCAGGTACGCAATCAGTAGGCCCATCGGAATCCCCTGACCCCACTTCACAAGGAGGGACTCACATCCGGCTATCTGAGGAACAGTGGCCTCCCTCGGGCAAAGACTTTCTCTAATGATTGCTGCCACTCCCCCACCCCTTCCCTGAGTCCTTGGCTGATGATGGAACTATACTATCAAAGTTCTTTATTGAAATCAAAGGGTAGATTTCTACTCTGGAAGAGTAGAACTGTAGAATAAAATTTGTTATTATAACTTGAAATAAGTTATAAGTGGAAAATACTTTCCACAAATTCTATGAATTAGGATCACGAATGGAAAACTGATCTCATTTATCAACATAATTCATTGTATTTTACAAACTTAAGTACCAAGCAAAAGAAGAAATGAAAAATAATAATCATACATATACCTCTGTGTCATATAATAAGAAGGTATCTTCTTACAGTAATTTTCTTTAGCTTTGTTTAAATCTACAGCAATGCACAGCTAATATATACCAGCAATTTTCTCAAAGTATGAAAATAATATCCCAGCGAAGAAAGAACAATATTGTCTTTAGGCAATAGCATGCTAGTGTGTTAGAAAGAAACTTGTCAAAAAAAGTTATATCTTCACCATTTAGTCAAGTAAGTCCTGGAGTAGGCTGCTTATATATGGTTTTGATATTTTTCTACCTTTGAGAGGCCATAGCTTTATGACAGCATATGAATCATCTATTCTAGAACATGGGGACCACAGGAGGCCAGTAATGACAAGACAGTGGTGGCAGGGGATGGCATCACCCCTCCACAAGTGTCCTAGTTTCTCAAGTATCCCCTTTGGAAAATTAACTGCCCAGTCCTGATCTAGAAAATTCCAGCCACTGACAGTTAAAAGAATTGAAAAAAAGTATCTTGGAAAAGATTGCTAATCAGACCAAACTGAATAGAAATGGAATAATATTTTACAAGATCTCAGACAAAGCAGCTGCAAGATTTTCTACAACCCTCTCCCCCCTTTTTTGTTCCATCGTGTATCTCAGTTAAATCAACACCTTTAACAAACATTGAAAATATTTGTGGTCTCCAACTGTTACCTAATCTGAATGAAAATAGTGAAATATGGATTCCAAATCTTCTCAGTCAGACAAAACAAAAAATAATCTTGATATAAATTTGTCTCATTCTATTTTGTTGCTGCTTAGTAGGAAACTGCCACCCCAAACTTCTTTCCATAGGTTTGTACTTTCATTGGTTTCGTAGTACTTTCATAGCTTTCCCAAATACAGGATTAGAAAAATTAAAATATTTTCCTCCTTATTGTTTAGACAGTTTGACTTGAAAAGTAGTAGCTAAGCTAATGAGTTTGTAGTTGAAGTAGTAAACTACACAAAGATTTCAAACATCCTCTGTGTTGCAGAATAGGGATAGTTGATACACTCATATTATTAAAAAGACACACATTTGTTATTTCTAAAGAACTATCAATCTTTCCTTTATGAACAAGTAGAAATTCTCTTACATCAAATAACTCCACATGCCAGTAAAAGAAAAGGAACATTTCACATCTGTCATGAAGATTTATATCTAATGAAATCTATAAGATTCAAGGTATTTTAGTATGCATTGCTCTAAAGAGGCAGTTCTCAAACCTTTTGATCTTGGGACCCATTTACATTCTTGAAAATGATTACGAAGGGCTTTAATTGATGTGGATTATGTCTGTTGATATTTAATATGTTAGAAATTAAAACTAAAATATTTAAAAATATTTATTTATTTGACTTTGCAGACTTCTGAAAGGGTCTCAACAGTTTCCAGGGGTTCCCAAAATACACTTTGATAACCACTGCCCTAATGTATATCATATATACATTATATAGGATATTATAGCTAGCTAGCTAGATAGATAGATAGATGATAGAGATAGAGATAGAGATATACAAGTTCTCAAGCTGATAAACAGGGGAACTTGTGGCTCAGGGATTTATACAACTTCCTCATATGCAGGCAGCCCAGGTTCAAATCTGAGTAAGGGTATGGCTAGCTGATGAGATCTAAATAGCTTGAAATAGATCTATACTAGTCTCCCTTTATTTTTTTATCAGCAAATATGAAATATGGTATAAAATGGTTTGTCATGAATGTGACTGCTAGTGGGCTCCTGGATTGGACTGAAAGGCGAAAGGGAAGCAGTATGCTCCCTCCCATATTGAGGTAGACCAGGTGCTTCAATAGAAAAACACTTTATCTATATATAATATACTATAGTATAGTATAGTATATATATTAATGGTAGTTTAATACTCTGACGATGTCAGCAGATGGCTGACAAAAGCTTAGTAGAATATTTTTTTTTAAATTATTTTAAAATTTTAAGTGCCGGAGCTCATTTTAACCTAAGACTGTCTACTGTTGACCTCACCCCATTCCTAAGAGGTGTGTAAGGGGTGTGCATAAGAGCACCAGTGTGCCTACCATCCCTGTCCTAATATTCCCTTTATTTGTATTCATTTTATCTATTCACATTCTGTGTATACTTATATATATTATCTAATATGTGCTTGACTAAATAAATAAATAAATAAATAAATAAATAAATAAATAAATAAATAAATAAATAAATATTCTAAAAGAGAATTTTTTTGAGGGAAGGTGATGGGGAGGGTGATGTGGAGTTTGACCAGACAGAAAGAAAGGAAAAAAAGAAGAAAATATTTGCCCAGTGTTTGTAGCATGATAAAGTTTCTTTTTCCTTAAAATTGGGTGTCGGTTGTTTTTTTGGGTTTTTTTTGGCATAACCTCTCAAACTTAAAACAAATGCATAACTTATATATATATATAAGTATATATTCTCAATATATATCTAATATTTTTCTTTATCCATTATAAACACCTTTGGAGTTGTGAATTATATTATAATTTTTAAAGTGGGTGAAAGATGGTGAATGACTAAGATGAAAACCATACATTAATCCAGAAAATGTGTATTAGGTTACTTCATATCAGTATTATGTAAAACCATATTCTTTAAGCATTCTTACTTTAAAAAGCTTTTAAAAGAAATATTAAGGTGTATTAAATAAAGGAAATTTGAAGGAATGGCACAATAAAGCCTTTTAACTCTATTAGAAAATAGTTCTTAAAACCAACCTTGTTGTATAATTTTATCAGAATGAACATAAATCAAACATTTCCTTAAACTAAACTTAGCAGTACAAATCCAATATTTACTATGTGTAACTAGAGATAGACTTGCAAGACTATCTTTCAAATAGCCGTATTTTAAAGGGGGGGAAATCATTTCCCCCCCCCTAATATTAAAGGTAATAAACAAACTTTTTTATTGTCTTGTTACAAACATAATCACATTTTTTTCTTGTTTATTTTTCTTTACTCTGTAAAGCAGAAAGCTCATAATGTAAAATCAATGTAGTATATCAGTGGTCTTTGAAATGTAATGTGATACAATAAAACCTTGCAAAGTCAGACTCAACAAATACTTTTTAAGAGATGAAATGATGGATTAGACAACACAAATAACTATGCATTTACTCCCATTCCCCCCCCTCTCTTTCTCAGCTTGTAGTTTGCAGCCCTTAAGTAGAATCATCCATTATCTATAGAAACAGTCCACCCACACCTAGTAAGTAATCACAATTTTAATACATTTGAAGAAGGGGAGGTGAATTTTTTTTTCACTTAATGTAGTTCTCTGAAGTTTCAGTGGGAACTGATATATTTTCTAAAGGCCATTACATTTCATAAAGAGGGATGCTTCCCCCCACCCACTTTTGCTAGGTGAACAGAAGCTGTCCTCAACCCCAAGCATTCCACTTTAGGAAAAATGTGATCCCTTTTTTATGAAAGAATATGAAATCCCATCTATGAACACACAAACAATTCTCACTCACTCTTCAAATGTCTATCTTCTCTTTCCCCCTGCCTCACCCCCAAGTACAGATTTCTCTTGACATTCAATAAAATGTTCAAGCCCACTCCTGGAGAGCTTTTTATTTCATGAATCTAAGCCATCAGTCAGTTCACACATGACATACTTCCCATCAGCATTTGCACTTCAAACCATATTTCCGTATGATCTGGGGAGGTAGTGGAGGGAGAGAGAAAGAGGAGGATGCAAAGTTAGCACTCACCCTTCAAGGGCATACTTCCCCCTTTCCAGATGTTGGATCAATCCTGTAATACCTGGGGATCTTCTCAGAAACTACAGCATTGCGGTATTAACTAGTATTTGACCAGGGCTCCTATTATTATTTGGATACGCTTGGTTTTTTAAAAAACCAACTTTGATATATGCAAATTATACTCTTGAAATATTAGTAAATATGATCACAAGTCTTTATGTATCCCGTTTATGCAAATACAAATTCTAGCTTTTAATGCAGCTTATTTAGATACTAAAACAGCATGGGCTGCTGTAGTGTGAATACTTAAATGGATGAGAAAAATAAGCGGAGTATCCATAATGTAGAGAAAGGTCAGTCTAATATGAAATCTAAACAGTACATATAAATCTTTGGAATTAGAATGAGAGGATATTAAAGGAAAGGAGTTTTCAAATAGCGGAATTGCCTAGCCAGTTCAATTTAAATTAGATATTCAAATGATTACTAATGAGCATGGAATGTCAGGGAAACAGACTATGAAGAATTATGATCATCAAAGGCCAAAAAGAAAAAAAGAATGAGTACAGCTAATGACTCCAAATTATACAATGTTACTTTGAATGGGAAAAATGCCTGTTTCATAGCTGGTCAGCAGTGTAACTCATGGATTTGAATAGGATTGTCTTTCATTCATTAAAACTCAAGCCCCAGTACATTTCACATTAGTGAGCAAGCTAGCCTGGCAATAAACTGCAAATGCTATTTGACTTTTTAATCATTGCAATTGTTTGGATTATCTTGCCTTTACTGGTTCAGCCTATAGTAACCACTTTATATACATATACTAATCAGGAGAAAATGGGTTGTCTGAGTGTGGATCTTTATGTAGCCAAAAAGGCACCAACCATGTATAAGAAGGAAATAAGGGGAAATTTCAAGATCTGAAATGTAAATATTGTATGAGGATAATCCAAACAGGCTCATTATTACCCTCCAATCAAGTGCAAGTCTTAAAAGAAAATAATGCAGGCAACAGGTGTAAGGTATGTCTGGTTAGTAATGAGAGACATTTTAACTATGGATGTTTTAACACTATACTGTACAGTTTAAGTTTTGACTCAGCAAGAACACTTTAAAAAACTGTGTTCTTCCACCATATGTCCAAAAGAAAAAGAAAGGGATGACAACACCTATTGTCATTCCCTCTTGAAGCTGGGATGACTGAAGAAGAGTGGATGGTGACCAAGCATGAAGGATGAAACGGCAGGGAGATTGAGGTAGATATTTTGAAGAATGCAAAAAGCAGGGGCAAGATTATTTGAGAGAATGGCAAGGGCAAAAAAAGCTTGATGAGGATATGTGATTGTATATTATAGATGTGATGTCTCAGTATAAAAACTAAAGGAAAAATGGTACTATTCTGAAATAACTGAGATGTGTGTGTGTTTGTGTATGTGATGATAAGAGACAGAATTCAGACAGAGGTATGCAGTGAGAGAGATCATTTTAAATTTAATGACATTGTTTTGTATTTTCAGAGTTAGTCAAC